TGATCGGCTAATACTGCACGACAACGTAGGCGTGTTAACGTTGCGAGTACAAGAACAACAATCGTGAAGTTTGAGATAAAATAGTTTGACAACAAATTTGAAGACGTCGCTATAAGAACCAACGATGACTGGAAACATGTTTAGATTGATCATAACATAATGATCTGCGTTCTTTTACAACGACCCGTGAAGATGAGGGTTAGAATTGATTTTCAGTAACCCATGCTTATCGTAAGAGGCGACTAACGGAATCGGGTTGTCAGGCACGCTGACTTGGCTGACACATGTCATGGCATCCCAATTGCGTAGATCGATACTCATGATCGATACGCTGGATTGTCTTTTCCAGACTCGATTATTTACAGACCGCAATCATAGCTGAAATATTGCTGAGTGCGGCGTAAAACAACAAAACAAACCAAAATACCGTTGCTGATCGGTGAATATTACCAAAGCCACCAAATCATTCACAACGGACCACATGTTCAATTTTGGCAATGTAACCACGAGTTAACAGTTGACACATTGTTTCTGAAATTCTAGCTGCTTATAGGACTACAGTATTCCCTTTAACTTTGTACGGTTCAAATGTCCAATAGCTGTGAAAACACAATGCCTTTTAGGCAATGGTCAAATTTACCTGTTATATTTGTCATTACACTTTCTTAGTACAGATCCTTGGGGGTGAGTAGCATTCGAGATTCCAAAACATGTTCCCGTCCTAGTCAGCCATCTAACCCACTCAGCCACCGTGGCTTACACCAAAATGGTAGCCTAGACCTCATACTTTGTGTACCACGAGTGTCAATACCATAGCTTTTACAGCACGGTGTCTTTCAGAAAGTGGTCAAGCCTCAAATATAAGAACGTTACATTTGCCCGCTTTCTAAAAGCAAATGTGTATTCTTCGTACGTTTTAGTATTAATTCTCTATTTCAACAAACCTATTTCCTTTATCTACATTCATAAATCCCGTTTGATGCATTCATGTAAAACCTTATGAAAAGATTGTACTCTCAACTGAAGCCTAAACCTGCCTCTAATATTTGCCTGTTTATAGAAATGTGTGTTTAATTCCTTAACACATAACTAAACGCGTTCCTTCCCAATATTTCTTACCTGTTGTGTTTAACACTTGGATGTGTTTCTAGTCTGGATGCCAGTTGCTGGTGATCTATAGCCCATTTTTATGTTGTAATGTCCTAAATACTCTATGATTTTAGGTTACCTGCTAGTTTTATATCTCCAACTGTGATATACTAGTTGTATTACTGTCCTTTGGCGACAGATTTTAAAATATAAAATTATAAAGTATTTACTGTTTTAATCACGATATGGCTGAAATATTGCCAAAGTGACTTTAAATTTTAACTCACTCACTCAAGTCTGAATGCAGAGTGACCCGTACACTCCCTGAGGCCTAGTTATGGTGTCCACCTCCGTGATATTCCAGGAATGTGCTACAAGTGGCGTAAAGCATTACCAGCCGCACGCACGCACTCACTCACTCACTCACTCACTCACTCACTCACTCACTCACTCACTCACTCACTCACTCACTCACTCACTCACTCACTCACTCACTCACTCACTCACTCACTCACTCACTCACTCACTCACTCACTCACTCACTCACTCACTCACTCACTCACTCACTCACTCACCCACCGACCGACCCTCAAAGTTTTGGGGACCATGGTTGGCATGGCATCATCTATGAGATGGAAATGGGCCCACATAGGAGGTGCATACAGTGAACCCCGTGAAAGAGAAATAGATATGTGTGCACACATAAAGAATATAGGAAACTAATTCAAGAAAAATATTTATTAAAACTGTTTTCCCCACTTAAATGACATCCTGCAACGGTCAAGCTTTATCTAGCCATGGTTGTTCAAGAAAATTTAACAATCTGACAAGCCACTTATTAAACAGGGACACAGTTTGACCGAATAGTCGTGCAAGGGTCCTCAAGTCTTGCGATCGAATTGAATATTAAACCCCCTCTGATACACCCACCCCCAACCCGAGTAAGATCAACAGATTTGAGTAATTTTTCTGACTTACAAAATATAATGGTTAATACGTAATTTCTCTATGATTTTCACCAGAACTTATGCAATGTGACCTGTAGTTGCGTAAGTTAGACCTTTATGACAAACAACAAGCTGACAATATAATCTGATGTCTAGACGGAGTAATAAACGCAGCTTGTGTCCACACCCACAAAGCTATTACGCTTTCAACAAATGTCTTTTCTCATAATACTACTTTCCTTTGATGTCTGTTATATCCGGAATCTTTCCATTGTTGACTTAAATTGTTCAGTGTTGTCTGTCCACTTTCGAAGAATTCTCTATGGTTCATCAATATCCTATTTTTGGTATCTTATGTAACACTCAGCTTTAATCCATGTGGAGGTAATATTAAATCAAGTTGGCTCCAGATGAACCAGTGATAGATATAATGAGCATCAGTCAACGCCGTAGGATGACATGCATTCAACTCAGGCACCGCGTCTGACAATACGAAGAGTGTAGTGAGTTACTTGGGGCCTGTTCTTTCCATTTCATCTCGTCACGATATGGCTGAAATATTGCCGATGTGACGATAAATATTAACACACTCACTCACTTTCCATTTCAACGGGGACAATTGTATTTATCTCTTTCTTTGACAGCTATTATTGTCAAATGACAATGACGTTTTTTCAGATACTTTACGACTTCTTATTTCCAACATTGAACCCTCTGCATACCCTGTCTTCATTTGAAAAATATAATTCATGATGTTTGAATGATGAAACGATGAACGTGGTTGCGGTTAGAAAGACTGATTAAGATAAATAATATGATTTTTAGTGAAGGTATTTCTCATCCCCAACAACCATGGGATCAAAGGGGGTCCCGTAATCTCTAAAGGCCACACCAATTCACTTTTTGTTTATGTTTCGACAGCAACTGATCTAAATAATATTCAATCAGTTCTCAGTCACCCTAGGGGGCGGTGGGGTAGCCTAATGGTTAAAACGTTCGCTCGTCACGCCGAACACCCGGGTTCGATTCCCCACATGGGTACAATGTGTAAATCCCATTTCTGATGTCCCCGCCGCGATATTGCTGGAAGATTACTAAAAGCGGCGTAAAAGTAAACTCACTCACCGTAGGAGACAAATAATTAAGACTTTTTATTTCTCTATGGTTTTCCCCAGAACTTATGCAATGTGACCTGTAGTTGCGTAAGTTAGACCTTTTATGACAAACAACAAGCTGACAATTTAATCTGATGTCTAGACGGAGTAATAAACGCAGCTTGTGTCCACACCCACGAAGCTATAACGCTTTCAACAAATGTTTACAGTCATATTTTCTCATAATACTACTTTCCTTTAATGTCTGTTATATCCGGAATCTTTCCATTGTTGACTTAAAATGTTCAGTTTTGTGTGTCCACTTTGTAAAGAATTCTCTATGGTTCGTCAATATCCTATTTTTTGTATCTTATGTAACACTCAGCTATAATCCATGATGTGGAATAATATTCAATTGTTGGCTCAAGATGAACCAGTGATAGATATAATGAACATCAGTCAGTAAGGCATCGCATCTGACAATACGAAGAGTCCAGTAAGTTACTAGGGGCCTGTCCTTTCCATTTCAACGGGGACAATTGTTTTTATCTCTTGCTTTGACAGCTATTATTGTCAAATGACTTTACCATCTGAACGTTTGTTTTCAGATACTTTACGACTTCTCATTTCTAATATTGAACCCGCTGTATATCCTGTCTTCATTTGAAAAATATAATTGATGATGAAAACGATGGTGAACGTGGTTGTGGTTAGAAAGACGGAATAAGATAAATAATATGATTTTAGTGAAGGTGTGTTTCTCATCCCCAATAACCATGGGATCAAATCGGGGCCAAACCAATTCACTTTTTGTTTATGTCTCGACAGAAACTGACATCTAAATGGTATTCAATCAGTTCTCAGTCACCCTAGGGGGCGGTGGGGTAGCCTAATGGTTAAATCCTTCGCTCGTCACGCCGAACACCCGGGTTCGAAGCCCCACATGGGTACAATGTGTAAAGCTAATTTCTGGTGTCCCCCGCCGTGATATTGCTGTAAGATTGCTAAAAGCGGCGTAAAAGTAAACTCACTCACCCTAGGAGCCAAATAATTAAGACTTCATCATCAAAAATCTTAAAAATGTTCCAGGTATATTATTTACAAGTCTGACTGAGATTTATTGTTCTTGAAAGTTTTGAATCAAGACGGTGTTTCAACATTTATTTTATAGCCTTGGGTTGTGTATGTATCTTGCTGTATAGTTTTCTTTGTAGTGAGTGACTGAGTGAGTTTAGTTTTACGCCGCTTTTTAGCAATAACCACAGTGACCATCTAGTCACATTTTTCAGTCATCTGATATAAGGTAAGGTGGGTGAACTGGTGTCTAACGCCGCGTTCATGCATATTACAAAGCTTGTACTAGTCATCCCAAATCCTGGTTGTATAATGCTAGCCTACAGGTTGATTGGTTGGTTGGTTTGTTGTTTAACTCCGCACTAAGCAATAGTCCAGCTATATGGCGGCGGTCTGTAAATAATCATGTCTGTACCAGACAATCCAGTGACCAACAGCATGAGCATCACTCTACGCAATTGGGATACGATGACATGTGTCAACCAAGTCAACGATGTCCCTCCGGATTGCGCGAAAAACGATGACAACAGTTCGAAGCTCCACATCGTATGTTAACCAAAAATAAATAACGATGTCCCTCTGGGGTGTGTGATAAACGGTGATAATAGTTCGAAGCTCCCATATTGTATGTTAACCAATAATAAATAACGATGTCCCTCTGGGTTGTGTGATAAACGGTGACAACAGTTCGAAGCTCCCACATTGCATGTCAACCAATAACAAACAAGAGTCATCAGAAAATGACATATCATCCCGGTACCACATTTTTGAAAGAACAAATCATCTGACAGTTATAACTTAAAGTCCAGCTTGATTTTTTTAGACTAAGTCCAAATCGTTTCCATGGAAACCGGGATCTGCCTCATATATCTGCCAAGTTCTGTTGAAAGATATTGAACGGTTTTCGAGTTGTGCTCCGGAAACGAAGGCAACCTCTCCCTTTTATGACTAAGTCTGGATCGTTTCCATGGAAACCGGGAAAAAATACAAATGCCAAAAATCTGCAAATAGCAAAGGCACCACTTCAACATCTGCCTAATATACCTGCCAAGTTTTGCTGAAAGATATTAAGAAGTTTTCGAGTTGTGCTCCTGAAACGAAGCCCACAACTCCCCTTTGAGACCAAATCCAAATCATTTCCATGGAAACCGAGAAAATGATAATGACAAAAATCTGTAAACAGCTAAAGGCACCACCTCGGGACCTGGTTAATATATCTACCCATTTGTGCTGAAAAATAGTGACCTGTTTTTCGAGTTACGCTCCGGAAATGATTACGGACGGACGGACGGACGCACGGACGCACGGACAAGGCGTCGACCGGTGTGTGTGTGTGTGGGGGGGGGGGGGGATGTTAACGATGTCCTTCTGGGTTTTGTGTGATAAAAGGTAATAACAGTTCGAAGCATCAGCGGTTATCCATACAAATATTAAACAAATTGTTTCACGGTTAAGTATTATAAGACTCAAGTCACGTCAACCTGGAAATGCTTCTTTGGTCAGAGTTTGATCTGCACAGTTACTCTCAAGGGAACCAAGGGCAACCTTGTTTCCCACGAGAACCAACTGAGTCGTAGATAGAGTTGAACATGATCAATGCAGTTACGCTATGTTGCCTGATGTCGATATTATCAAGTGTTTTCGGATTTGTATTTGTGTCATTATTTTGAAAAAATTCATTTCCTTACGATCTAATTGGTAAAGTTATGCTAACTGACAAGTAATGTTTTGTTCCCTTTGGTTTAGTTCTCAAGTCAGCTCGTTAAGTCTACTAGATCAATGTGTAAAATCAAATTCTTTTAATGACGCTATCATCGATTAACAATGCCAATCATTGTCAGTGCCGTCAATGAAGAAGTTAAGGAGACGGATCAAATGCAGTTATTTGAAAACGCGTTAAATGGCTGTATCGACATTAACGCTATTGTATATGATGCTATATAATCACAGGTAACTTCTCCATTGTTGGTAATAGCAACGTTCGTCAACTACTTAAATATGGGCCTAAGTATCGGGACTACAACATTAAAATCATTATGGATGCTGTGGAAACACATGTCAAACAAGAGTCATCAGAAGATGACAAATCCCCCCGGCCCCCACAGAAATGAAAGAACAAATCATCTGACAGTTACTTAAGGTCCAAATCTTTTCCATGGTAACCATGACAAATATAAATGCCCAAAATCCGCAAATAGCAAGAGGCACCACTTTGGGATCTGTTTGATATATCTGCCAAGTTCTGTTGGTAGATATTGAGCGGTTTATGTGTTATGCCCCGGAAACGAAATCCACCCCTTTTTGAGACTAAGTCCAAATCGTTTCTATGGAAATCGAGAAAAACAAAAATGCCAAAATCTGTAAATAGCAAAAGGCACCACTTTAGGTTGTGTTTCATACATTTACCAATTTGTGTTGAAACATATTGAACGGATTTTGAGTTATGCTCCGGAAATGAAATGATTACGGACGAACTGACAGACAGACTAAAAGAGAAGATGAACCTTTAGAATGTCTTTCAGAGCGGGTTAAGTCTGTGCGTGATGTTGTCATTGGCAGAATGCATAAACTGTAAAAGAGGAAACAGAATTGGAATAAACCCATTCTGTCCCAATCTGCCATCCAAAGTCTGGCTGCCCTGCATGAGGTTGTAGTTATTCCCACTGACAAAGCCTCAAATAACATATCCATTATATGTAAAACCATTACATAAATTGTTTGATTAAAGAGCTTGCTATACGTGACATATATCAAATAATGACACATATAAGGCCAGTATGTTAACTGAAGACGATATTTGCCAAACCATTCAACGGTACAATCAACGTTTGGCTTGAATGTTAAACCTGTAGACATGTCCATCCCTCTTTTGTACGCAAAACTACATACAAATCCGTATAAATCCGAATTACGGACGGTTCATGGACGACCTCCAGTTATATGGACTGGTAACATTCCTTTAAGGACCCGCAATTCCCAGTTGAAGATATGCGCCCTATACGTGTGCCCGAAACCTATGACCGTGGGTACATCGGTTTCTGTAATTTTCAGCGCCATATTGGTACTCATGGTACCGACTGTATTCCGGGTGTGAATGCATGTACCCTACAACTTCATTTGTAGTAAATGCTCGGCTGGCCAGGCTCATTCAGGTGGTTGACCGTATGGCACAATAAGTATCCCTATTGCAAGGATCGATAGTTATTGTAACCTCTGGATCGTCTTTTCAACAGGCTGGAAGGTTTAAGGACCACCGCCATATAGCTGAACCGCGGCATTAAAGAACAAACAGACCAATAAAATAGCTTCTCCCAACGCAATTATGTCCAGTTTCTAAGTGCAGTATCGATTGCTACAAGAACGCATCCGATGTGTTCGTGAACTACAAGACTGACGAGGTCAAACAGACCATCAGCACCATGTTTATGTGGCATACTGATTTCCTTATAAGCTTGCTACAATTGGTCAAGTGAATTTACTTGTCTTGATAAAGTTCGGGTTATAGATGATCCATAGCAAACATTGATGAGGGTAAGAGACGTTTCGATGGGTGAGGGTCAGTGTACATTGCATGTTATGACAATTGGGCCCCTTTTCACAAAGCTCTCGTAACCTTTCTCGTAGCATTCGTACTTCCTATGTTACAGTATAGTAGGTACGATTGCTACGAGAAAAGTTAAGAGATCTTAGGCTTACGAGAGCTTTGTGAAATGGGGCCCAGGGAACAATGACGCGCAATCAGCCATGGAGTTGAGTTTCACAATCCGATCCATTTAGACGTTTTACAACAGTTGTTGCTTGGGAACTAACACGGATCTTCGCGTGTGGCAATAATGTCAGTTGGTACTGATGCTATGCGCCTCGTCACCAGGGTAACAAATACCCCTTTACATCTGTACTTGTTGGCATCATATTCACAGAGCGAAACGGTTCCAGCTCACAAAGAAGTGTGTTGCATTGTACAAGACCAAAACACTGATATCGCAATACATTGAATGCATCATGAAAAATGAATGATCCTCACGCAGTTAAAACGTATCATTATCGTACTTTAACATCTGCTAATTAGGATATGGATTGCCATTAATGATCAGTGTTACTGTTGATTCTACAGATTAAAACATTTATACAAACAGCAAGGGATCCATTTACTACTTCCAACGAAATTGATTTCATCAGATAAATTAACACGTCATGAACTGTAAATCTCTACAGATGCAAACACATCTTCGCAAACTGCATCTGCTGAATCAGGTGGAACACAGGAAGGAGGATGGGCTTCGTCATCTGGGACGACTCACAACAGACGCAGACATGACGTCCTTCACAAGTCTGATGTATGTCAACGTGTTGTTTCTTCTTGTTGAATACTTGAAGGTAACAGGTAAGCATACACTATGTTTTTCGCTCAAGTTCAAAAGTGTAACGCTAATCAGAAATACATGGTTTTTACAGCGACAACGTGATCTCTGTATCAACATCTAATTTGAAATGTTTTGTTGTTGTTGATAGAGGTACTAAATCTGGTTACTTACATCCTGCCCAGCTATTTTCATGATTCGGATACGATGGCATACATCATCCAAGTTTGCCAATCAAATAAGCTCAGATAATGAAATTATGTATACGATAACTGAGGCACTAAACAAATTATTAACAGTACATTTTACATCATAAACCAAAGGTAAATAATCAGGTATCTCTTTGATGTATTGGAATGGGAATTGGTCATCATCACGAACAATTACCCATCTGTCCTTAAACTAGATATACAAATTTGTACTGTGGTAAAATAAAGTGCATGGGTGACACTGTCATCAACATTCTAATTGAAAAGAAAACCGCAAAACGTTTTGGTTAATCAAAAAAAAGAGATCTTGACCCCCGCACAAATTGCTCTATCTCACAAGCACATGTTTATGGATCAAATACTGAAAACTGGGTTCGCCTGAAGGTGAGCGTATTCATCGTCAAACAGAAACCATGTGTTAATCTGAGCACACGTGGGAACATTTAGAGCTAACGGCTTATACAGGGAATACGAACAGATACCAATTTATTCCCTGACACGTCAAAGTTACAAATAACCTTAACATATCTGCCATATGGCTTTTGAAAGTTTTACTGAGGCCATGGGAACTGTGTCCCAGGTCAACCAACGTTTGATTCAGACTTTCATTTCGATAGCTATTGGTCACTGTAAATCTAAATATGAAACAGAAAATGCGGTTCCATTGGTCGCTTATATTGCTAGGTCGGGTTGTTATGACGGAGTCGAAAATATTTAAACAATGTCAGATCATACCAAATGTTCAAGTTTATCTTGGCCGAATTCCATCGTTTTGCCAATCCGTTTTGAGTACCCATGCTGCCCAGATGCCACCTACTATGGTTATTTGGTTTGTTGTTTAACGCCTCACTCAACAATACTCCACCTATGTGGCGGCGGTCTGTAAATAATCGAGTCTGAACCTAACAAGCCAGTGATCAACATCATGAGCATCGACCTACGCAACTGGGATACGATGACATTTGTCAACGAAGTCAGTAAGCCTGACCACCCGACACCTTTAGTCGCCTTTTACGACAAGCATTGGATCAATTCTAACCCGGATGTTCACAGGTATGCCACATACCAACATATGCCTAAAATAGTTTTGCTGAGGACGTCCATCATTTTGCATATTGATTGATACGATGACATTTGATTTCATTCTTAACATATTGTTCAGACTTTTTTAAAAAGGAGATGTAACAATATGTAATGTCTGCATAAATTCCTCGTGGATCGAAAACTGATTGCCTTAGTTTGTCATGCTGGATAGTGGTGCAGAGTGTTGAAAACTCAACTGTTTCAAAATGACTGAAACTGAGTGTCGTATCAGAATACGTGAATAATGTGTGTGTGTGTGTGTGTGTGTGTGTGTGTGTGTGTGTGTGTGTGTGTGTGTGTGTGTGTGTGTGTGTGTGTGTGTGTGTGTGTGTGTGTGTGTGTGTGTGTGTGTGTGTGTGTGTGTGTGTGTGTGTGTGTGTGCCATAGGGCACGCTTACCCTTTTGTATAGTGAGACGCAGTGTCCCAGAGTATTTTGCAACAGGATTTAACCGGGACTGGTTAATCTTTAGCTTTGCGATTTACATCCTTAAGCTTCAAAAAACACGTTCTGCAACAAGCTCGTATGAAATCGTGTTCATATAAGAAAATGAAACTGTTTGTGGTTCCTGAAAATAAAAGTTAGGGACAAAAATTCTGGGAATGTTAATTTGTTATATTTTTTGTGTCGCAAATTTCAGGTTAATTGGAGATTTTTTCTGATCAAGAAATAGACCATAGATCTGAAAGGGAAATTATGTGCTGCAAAATGTTGTGCTGGTTTCCCATGGTCCAGTGGTCGTAAATTCGGGTAAGAGATTTGCCATGTGTATGATCCGTGTTTGACCAGCATCAAGTTATCCATGGAATATTTCAATGAAAGCACAGTTGGGCGGAAGGATGCTGAATCGCAATGTCGGATTATAAGACCCATTTAATTGGGAAATTGCAACCAGATATTATGATAAAATACATCCACCAAAATGAAGGAAGGAAGGAAGGAACGAATGAACGAACGGAAAACGAATGAATGAATGAATGAATGTCACAAAACAATGTCCGTAAGATCTCTAAAGAAACAAATGCTAATAACTTGAAATAGCTTAACTTGCAGTTTCATTGCGTCTGTGTATAGTGTCATGAAGGGTCTGTCAACGACATGTGTCAATGACTAGACACACAACCGTCCTACATCGTAACGTGCTGGCAATTTTTTTATATTTTCTTTGACATCGCCAAAACATCTTTCTGCCTCAGGTAGCAATATAGTGCCGTTCATTTCCCGTTTTAGAATTGTGAGGCATCTGATTGCAGGGAATCCATTCCGATCCAGCATCCAGTATCAGACCTTACATGGACAGTCTTTAAAGGCTTTCAGAAAAACGTGGGTGCATGAACTTTTTGGGATTAAGCATTAGAGTTGCAATCCGTTTCATTTCTTCACTCCTTATTTCAGTGTAACAAGCGAATCGCAACACTTTAAAAGTGACTAACTTGATCACAATTCAATGATATCCAAACTAGAAACCAAATCATACAAACTTTCTGTTTAATTACAGAAAATATAACAAAATAAAAAAGGTATTATATTGTCGTTATTTTTGTGTGGAGATTTTAACATCCTCCTTGCTATTATTAGTAAGCTTTCCCACCATTAGTGATATAGATAATATGACTATTGAACTGAAAATTCAGTCAAAAAATGTATTGTAATGTAATCGCACGTTTAGGTTTAATTGCAATGTGCTTTGTAAAGATAAACATGGACTAGAACTTTGGCTTCTTATCACTGTGTTTGTACACTGAACTATTTATTTTGATGGATTTATTGAGATGGGGTTGAGCATGACGAAACAGTTTCGATTCTGAATGAAGTTTCAATTTGAAAGTTTTCATGGTAATTATGTTACCAGCTCAATTTGTATTGTATTTGTGTTTTCAATATATACAGTATACTTGAGATTATAGAACACACATGAATCTATAACCTGGATGACTGAAATGTAATCAAGTTTAAGGTTCCTTGAAAGAGTACATTAAGCGTACCAATCGCACAAAATTTGTTTGTTTGAAAATAGAAACTGGCATCTTGGTCAACAAAGCCAGGGTACACACGTTTTGCGATCCAAAATCGTTTTGATAACGAAATCCTGTTTAGTGCATCAGTAATAGTTTCATCCAATGTTATGGAGACGCCTGTGACATTCATTATGGTCAAGGACGCATCTTTGAAACAGGTTATGAATTTAGATTATGCATAATATGCTGCTTATGGTCTGTTCACGATTTTAATGCCAATGGGCATTTTGAAATTTGGAATATAGTAATCGTGATTGGGTGTGGTTGAACGCCGCCTTTAGCCCATATTACAGCAATATCAATGTGGGGAATCGAGCCCGGGTCTTCAGAGAGGCGAGCGAACGCTTTAACCACTAGGCTACACCACCGCCTCCATTTTGGGAAATATTCATTTCTCAAGTAATGTGGTTATATATGCATGAATTCCCTGAGGCCATTGTGTAATTTGTCTATTCTATCTTCAACTACAGTCATTGAAGCGAAGTGTTGCCATGTACGCAATGCAAAATGCCTTTTATTTTTGACAGCACCCGTTCAGACAAACATAGCTCAAGGTAAACCTGCCTATCAATCCAGCGTGGCCCACAATGGTCACCCATTCTATGCCGTTGATGGTGTAACTGGAGGAAATTTCCATAGAGATCGCTGTATGCATACACCTTATGGCAAGTCCTGGTGGATGGTCGACCTTCTCAATGTCTACAACATATCTACAATCACTATTTTCAAAAGAACAGATTCTTGGTCAGGTATGTTCTGCATATTTGAATACATTGCAGTTGTACAACCCTTGCATTTGTAGAATTTAGTGTTGAAACATAAATGTAAACACAATCAACAAAACCATTATAAAATCATAAGAAATACCTGCCTACCATATCATAAGCATGTGTGAGTGATTTACTATTAATTAATGATCGGGTGTTCTTGAGATATGTGTACTCTGCCCTGTCACAATCACGCGCAAATTGTTCATCTGAAAATCTCGACCTTTATGTCTTGAGTTCCCGACATTGGGGTCGGTTCATTATTGGAAAGTTAAAGAGTCTTACGGGGCAGTTGAGGCTGATTCTCTTGCTGCTGTATCTGGTAAGTGAATCAGTGGTATTGACTATTTGACTATTATTGAACCATATTGGATCACTGAATGTTATTGAGCAAATATATTTAACAACTAAATGTATTCCGAGTCTGCTCAGGGGCGCTTATTGTGTGCAAATGAGACTATGTTAACACAATTCAGAAGGAATTTCTACATTATTGCAAGTGAAGCATGCATTCTAGAGAATTCGAACACTCCGATATCATGGTGTTCTAGGTCGGCTAGATCTTCTGAAGATAGAGGGCTTTCTCGGGCATCCTACCCTCTGTCCCGCATCCTCCCCGAAAGTCTGTGTCAACCAGATGGGCAGTTTCACTGGAACATCCAAGACTGTTGCTTGTGAACAGGAGGTTATGGCCAGATATGTGAATGTTTCTCTCGATGGCACGATGACGATGTGCGAGGTTCAAGTGTTTGGAGAAGGTAAGGTCTTTATTCAGACATTTACACTATGCATGAACGCCTCTTGGGGGAACTGGTGTATGTTAAGATTGACTAGGTACACAAATCAAGACAAATTGGTTCAAAGTAATTTTACGATGGCGGGGCACAATGGAGAAGCCAAACAAACGTCAATTATCACCATGGAAATATGACATGGCGGTACGTGCTGGTGATTGTAATGATACCATTGATAATAATATGGGGAAACGGGGTCCAGGGGTCTATATCCAGGGTGGGAAGAACCTTAATATTCATGCTATGTAATATGACAGAGGACCATCTTGTCCACAACAGAATATATCCCTTTCCTAATGTAGATTGGACTATGCTCGATAGACCAATGTCGTTCCAGACGCTTTTACATTACACTTGACTACAAGTCTATGGATAGTTATTAACGCAACTAGTGACACCTTCTATTGAATCTTAACAGACATAATGCAACACAACCTCAAAACTGGTCCGCAATGAATAACAGGTCCAAAATAACTGTCTACATATATCTTGATCAGTTCAACTGCTACCAGCAACCTCCACCTCCTCTACCTTGTGCAATGCTGACAATTCCCGCCTGAATTCCCGTCTTTGATTTGACAAGAATTGGTGCACATATTTTATTCAACATATAAGTCATATGAATACACGCCTGTGTTAGAATTCCCCACAGGAGCCATAATCCCTGTGCCTGGGCTGATGCCATACGTGTGGATCCTTGCTCATGTTGACATTCATTTGTTTGTATCGTTCCACAGGCTGAATAAACATCCTGCACTAATTCATTCCAACTTATTTACAGGCATTTGCTATAAAAATGATGTACAAATCCAAAAAGGTCGGAAGCAAGATAGTCCTTCACCCATGCAAAGCAGTTTGGCTTCGAGTCGCATGGAGTGCAGCAACATCTGTTACAGACACAGCTGTACGTTCTTCAACTACAACAGAGTGACTGGGGAATGCCAGACAGGAAGTGGCCTGGCAACTTCCGCTTCATCCTACGCTGCTGACTGGGACTTGGGCACAATCTGTTGAAGGGCGATTTTCCTGTAGAAATGTGGTTTTTCCACCTATCAAATCGTTCATGGTGATAATCGAAATCATAGACTTTTTTGATGTCATGGACGATTCTGTTTCTTGATGGATTGTGACATGGGAACTATTCCATAACGACGTTCATAACTGGAAGAAAATGAGAAATGATTTTCAGAGAAATGTGTTGTCCGGTCAAATATTTATCACTAACATTTGTAGCATCCATATTTAGACACAGATTTCCACCACAATATAGAAGATATGAAAACGATATAAGTATCTATACCGAAACGTCGCTATTGTATAATAACGAAGTTGATCATCCATAAAGGCTTGTCATTCCTAATTTAAGATCACTATAGCATTTATGTCCTGTCATTGTAATGATATGGAGTATTTCTTCATAGTCCTTGTACATGCTTCCTTTCGGTTTGTTAGCATATTTGTGCGCGTGCAAATCTGGTTGCGGAATATCTAAAACAGTTAACGTTGTTATCAGTATTTGTCATAACATTTTCCATTGGGAAGAATAATCTGACCATTTGTGTACCCTGTTCAATGGCTTTATCCGGAATCTAATGCGTATTGATATGCAGCGCTAACGTACTTCAGTTGGAATTGTTTTGTGTTCAATATTCCCGGCATCTCTGCTTGCAGTGTTACATGTTGCCTCTCCTGGTAATTAGAAGAATGTTGTATACTGATGTTGATAAGATGCACACAACACATCCTGTAATGTGTTGCTATTGTGAACAGACACTCCTTTGCTTTGGTTACTTATTTCATGTTCATTGTCACTGTAGTCTTCGCATGTAAAATATTATTGTGCGCTTGTTATCAATGGTAAACAGATGGCATACCTGTCAAAAATAAATGTGTTGAACGTCGTTCAAATTTTTTTTATTGTTTGTGTGTTTGTTTACATAACGGCTCTTATGCCCCCAGTTGTGCCTATTTCTGGAGAGCTTGTGGGCTTGTTTTGGTAATTGTACGTCCGCTTCCTACATTAGGAATTTTACTATCATAAATTGTCACGAGTATTAAAACAATATATATTTTTTATGCTCTTAAAAAAATGTAGGGAACATTTTATTTTTAATTTTCGATTGAAAATATTGGGAGATATATCGGAGTCGATCAATGTTGATATGATAATAATGAGTGTTTTGAGGAGTGCATCACCACTTCCACTTCCTTACGCCGTGATATTGCTGAAATATTGTTAAAAGCGGCGTCAAACTCCACTCACTCACTCCACTTCCTTATGACCATAGTTTGTTTGAGTAATTGCTCTTGAAAGATGAATGGTTGTACTGAAGGCAGGAATGAGAGTCTGAAAAGATGATATATCGTGTATATACAATTAAAAAATGTAAGGGATATTCCATTTTGCGAGCATACCACTAGCCAATGCCAGTGCATATGAGAAAAGTAATATATATCCATACAGATGAAACATTTCCAAAGGAAAGGAATAAAACTGAATTTTGTTGCAATTTTAGATTTGTCAGTGATTAAATTATCAGCAGATTTTGAACCTTTGCTTTTTATTCCCTGCACCATGTCCCATACCTTCGACATTCGCGTGCATGAATTAATTCTGGAGACACATTTCCTCCAAGATTGACGTTTGTTTTGTTTGAAGGTACAACGTGCTTTTGCATTTAGTATTTTATTTTATGACAGAACAGTTAGGTGATGGCGGAAATAATTGTCTGCCCTTTTCCTCTGTGTTTTGTTCTGGGGAGGTAGGGAGGGGGTCATCAATTTTGCACACATGTACTTGGGGGGTCAGCAATTTTGTGCATAAAAACATTACAAAATTATGCTTAAAGTTAGGGGGGGGGGCGGAAGGCGGTGTCATTGATTTTGTACATGACATGCAGGGGCTCACTTACTTTGAAAAGGCATAACCCCAGTGACATCTATCTACAAGCCAACATTAAAGAAACGTGGCAGTCTGTACTTCCGGACACCAACTAAGTTTCTTTAGACCCCCGGGACTACATAAAACTTGAAACATGCATGAAAAAAAGTATTTCTTTCAGTTTGTACTATAAGATTTGAATCAAAAAGATTATTGCACATCTGTCGTCATTCTGTAGCAGGGAGTATGTTGCCCCCAATTATGCAAAAAGAGAAACACTATCTCAGCAGAAGTGATAATGCAGATTACGCATTCAGCCGGTCATTCTGTCAAGTCAAACCCAAGTCTAACCTTCTTAAGTCTATGGACGTTTCTTTCGAAACATGTTTGGAAATAAAACTAAGCGAGAATTGACAAACAAAACATAACTTGGCTAGATGTATTTTATATTGGTTTGAAATAAAAATATTCTAGCATTGGTATAATTCAACACGAACGTTTTTGAAGGTTGTTGTACATTATTGCCGCTAACAAAGTGTAATGACCAGATGCCCCAACACATGTCACACCTAGATGTGACTTCAGGCTTAGCACGTTTCGTTTTTGTTGCTATTGTCAATCCTCACGAAGTGGGAACCCGCTGACCACAATGCAAAGAGGTCACGCCTTCGCACTGACAAACATTAAGCATTTTTCAGATACATTAATCATGCTATCTCAAAACATTATGCATATGGACATTTATGCATAGATATTAACACTGCTTTATTAACCTATATGATTACCATTCATTAAGTATGTATTACTTATCTATATCTATTTGCATCTTAAAGAGTTATTATTTATATTTAATTAGTGTATTTGATTAATGGTGGTAGTTGGTGGGAAACACATTATTTCTTATCTACTGATCTTCACGGATGGGTTGCCACGGAAAGTGATTAATTGTTCAGTGATACATGTACAGTAAGACTTAATCGCATGCACCGTTTTAATACACAATCCACATACTTACCTACACACTGTAGAGAGAGATAGTAATCACAACAAAGCACCACATAATGGTCTCTCGGAAAATGTTGTATTAGACAGTTGAAACAGTCATCATCATCACATTTACATTCCACTTTGTTCAATTGTCTTATCGACTGATTCTGGTGAGACAATGTCCGAATAATATACAATTATTTCCAAAGGTCAGATACTGTGTAGCCAAGATATGTATAAATTCATTGCAAGTATTTATAGGACGCTAATCTCCATTCTTAATAATCATTACAACTGTTTTGTGCATTGTCTTGTCAGTCAACCAGTACCACTGTCACTATCATTAATTATTTTTGTTTAAGTTAAGACATTTATGACCTTTATCGTTTATCCCTTTGACCCTGTCTGTTATCACACTAATAAGCCTTAGTCAAAGACAATGATATTGTCTCTTTATCTGTCCATTGTTGTCCCTTCGTCTGTCCATTTTGTCCAGTGGATTAATATGGAATCGTTTCCATTCTCAGCTCTTGGGGAGTGTAAACACATGCTGTGAGACGCTACATGGTATCCTTCCGGGTACCCATTCACAGTCGGTTCAACAGAAGCAAACTTTGAGGTAACACCACACCTGGGACAGGACTTTATGGGACAATAAGACGGGTTGTGGATCTTTTCGAACTTTACGTTGCCTTTACGTTGTGACCGATGGCCAATCTATAAAACGTCGCCGTATCAAATTACCCTTACACTATATCACGAAACTATACACAAAGAACTTAATTAAGAACTCCCTGTATTTTTGCAATAGGTTTTCAGCGCGTACATAAAACTTCTTGTGGTGACCACGATGGAAAAATATGAGTTTTTCTGACCCGTACGATCGTTTGACTCATAAAAAAGACAAAATGATTAGAATTTATGCTGATTCTATGATGATAATTGCTCATTTAAAAACATACACTGATTTTCATACAAAACCAAGGCTGTACAAGTATGTCCCTGGAATGTTTATCGTTGAATTTATTGGTGAATGTGAACATTCAAAATGTCATTTTGCGTGTCTTACACGATTCAACGTCAATACCCAGTGTAACCTCCATGTTACTGTATGACAGCCAGTACTCTCATACCCCTGTCAGCCTCCTGATCATCTGAAGGGGCAGTGTACGCCATTCCTCGTGTAAAGCAGCTTCCATTTGGGCCAGGTTCTGTATAGAAGGATCCCTTTGTTGCACACGACGACCAATCATGTCCCAGATATGCTCCAAAGGTTTAAGATTGGGGCTCATTTACTCGTGAGATATGTCAGGGGTGCTTAACGAAGTTATTTGTCTACACAACTAAACCTGCGCACAACTCTTATTCTCTTAAAGAAATACGAATTAACCTTTAAATTCTACTGCTAACTTTTAGCTTGAAAATATATCTCCTTCCAACCTGCATTCTTCTCCTCCTTGGCAAATAGTGAAACCATCGGTAGATTTTACACAAGGAAAACTAAGAAATCAGAAACCAGCCATACACTTCTCATACTTATAAATCTATCTTCACAGATGGATATAGGAATCGTGGCGTAGTTGCTAGTGCCACTGTTATTGGATCCAAAACAATTTCTTACCAGAAAACAGATTTTGACAGCCGAAGCAAACACAATTTCATCTGATGCTAAATATGTAAACAGTTTAAATATAAACACTTCAAAAACATTTTCGATTCTGTTTCTTGCCTTCAGGCCATTAAACAGTTTTAGTTGCCAGGGAGGAGTAGAATGCATAATAATGAATAATTCGTATTTCTTTAAACATCCCGATTGAAATGAAAGTCTCGAATTAAAAAGTGATCTTGCCACTGACCAATATGACATCCTCTTTTGTTTGTTGCTGAGCCATGTTCGAAACACCGTTAACACGATGACCGATTCTGCTGGTGCGGCATCATTTAACACATCTGTGACACCACTGTTGAAAACTTTACAGCGATTATAAACCTTTTTAGAAGTTTCATCAGTGATCTAATGGACTGACTGACTGAATTTGGTTTTACGCCGCTTTTAGCAATATTCCAGCAACATCACGGCGGGGGACACCAGGAATTGGCTTCACACATTGTACCCATGTGGGGATTCGAACCCGGGTCTTCGGCGTGACGAGCCAACGCTTTAACCACTAGGCTACTCCACCGCCCCTGATCTAATGGAAAATAGTGGGACACCCAAGTTGGTATCAATAAGTAACATGCAATAAA